ATGATGCAGTTCTTGTGGGAGTTACAGGAGAGAAGTTGCAAAGGTTGGTAAACGAATTTTTAAAAACATGTTTAAAATAAGGTAATTATAAGCAAACATAGAAAAGAGCAAAATGATTAGACTAAAAAATATAGGCAATGAGAGATTGCATTTCAGATTGGGGGAAATATAGAGAAATTTAATTTGTGAATGGATTTGTTGGCAGATAATTCAATGAGAGATGAAGTGAGTCATAGAATTAATGAAGGGAAAAAGATCGGTGGTATACTGAAACATCTGTGAAGGCAAATAACTCGTACAGCAGTGCTACTAACACTTTTGTATGCGTATGAAGCATGGGTTTTAAATGTTGCAGCGAGGAAAAGGCTGAAGGCAGTAGAGTTGTCATGTATGAGGACAGTGTGTGGTGTGAATATTATGCAGAGAATTCAGAGTTTGGAGATGGGGAGGTGTGGAGTAGAGATGTGACAAAGTATCGGAATGGGTTGGTATCAACCATTTTTGCGGTATCAGTACTTGGTATCGGTTTAAAAACGGCTGATAGTTTTAAAACATTAATATTACTTTACATATTTCGTTAAAAATATGAAAATTAACACTCTTCATGACTGAGAATAACTCATACTCTCTCTCTCTCTCTCTCTCTCTCTCTCTCTTCTCTCTCTCTCTCTCTCTCTCTCTCTCTTTCGACAAGAGCCTATGACAACAAGCCAAGTAAAGGTCTATCGACAATTACCTTGACACCTAATAACTAAACAACAACAACGACAACGACACACAGAGGAATATCAGCGAAAACACTACAATGGATCAAGGGAAAGCTGACAGGACGGTGTCGGAATGGGTGAATCTGACGAGTGGGATTCAACAAGGATCAGCACAAGGACCGGTGTTGTTGCTTGTATACGTGATGAACACGATAGTCAGAGGTATTCCTGTTCGCAGATTATGTGAAACTAATGAAGAGGATACAATCAGACGTGAACCAGACAAGGCTACAAATGAATCTGAACAGGCTGTAGGTCTGGAGTTTAACCCAGGCAAGTGCAAATTATTGTTATAATAAAAAAGAAGCGCTAAACCTACAAGGGTCATACAGCGCAGCAGGGCAGGGAAGGGTGCAGGGGTATTGGGTAGCGAGAGGGAGAGGGATTATTATTAGGTAATGGAGCAAATGCAAAAGTTATGAAGTTTGGAGAAGGGGAGAGACCACAAACGGAGTACAGGCTCGGGAAGCAAAGTCTGAAAATTTCTCTCAAGGAGAAGGACCATAGGGTGAGTATTGTACCGAACATATCATCTTTGGCACACATCTACCAAATAACTGCTGCAGCAAATCTAAGTGCAGCTTTAAACATCTAAGTAAGAAGTCATTCATGGCACAGTATACAATAAATATCAAGCCTATATCGGAGTTTATAGTATCTTTATGGAACCCACATCTAGTCAAGCATGTCAAAAAATGAAGAAAGCGCAGAGGTATGCAACGAGACTTGTTCCGAAGCTAAGGGGTATGTCCTATGAGGAGAGGTTAAGGGAACTCAGCCTGATGACACTGGAGGATAGAAATATTTAAGGGTATATTCACAATCTGATCCGACTGAATCTCTCGTGGTAGACCAACCCAGAAGAAAAAAATTATCAGTACTCATTCTATAACACAGAAATTAATCTTTCTCATAGCAGCTGCTTCATCATAGCGAGGGTCGCTGTATCCATTAAAATAAACAGATGTTTTCCCAAAATAGATCTCGTAGTGGATCAACACAGTCTATTATAAGCCAAGAGAAAGGCTCACCAAAAGCTGGTATAAGTGCAGTTGGAGGTGTTGAGTGTGAAGGCTTACTAATTACCTGACAGGTGTGACAACGCTTCTTGTGTTCTGTAACATAAGTATTATTGTAATCAAAGAAAGCGCTAAACCGATAAGGATGTTCTGTAACAGCATCCATCATTTTAGGCTATGTACAGCACTTAACAAGTATGCCTAGTGTTTTTTAACATCTAAATGCCCTCCTGAAAAACTCTTATGAGCAAAGTCAATAGTCTGCCTACTATGATTCACCATGATGGTAATACCATCTTCTGTGATTGTGGTAGTACAGATTTCCACAAGAATATATATCTCTCTCTCTCTCTCTCTCTCTCTCTCTCTCTCTCTCTCTCTCTCTCTCTCTCTCTCTCTCTCTCTCTCTCTCTCTCTCTCTCTCTCTCTCTCTCTCTCTCTCGCTCTCTTTAGTGACTGGTCAACAACCTGATACTTGATCGAGTCAGCTTGAGTAAAAACTTTAAATTTTGTTGTGTCCCTGCTAGGCTCACGTTTAGGAGAAATCTCTGACAGGTCATTGTTGTCAAATGACTTACCATGTTGCTAGGATGTCTGTTTAACGTTCGACATCGCTCTAGTGGTAGCACGAAGAGGAAATAAAGGTGTTTTTGTATCTTCCAACACGAAAAATATTTACACAGAAAATTTTTCCTCACAAGCTTTTGCAACCTATTTGCCATTCTGAGACTAACAGAAAGTATTTCCTAATATCCTTGTGGTTTATTTGTGTATTTAGCTTCCATCTGTGACCTTTTTTGAGTTGTCGTACATACTTTACCAGGTGGGAGCTCCTTGCTGGTGCTACATATGCCATGAATGGCCTGACGTATGTCATATAATGAATCCTAAAAGATTCTGAAGGCAGTTATGACATTAGTTAACCTCACATATTTGTTTCCTGTAGTCTGTCATGTTGGGAAATGAACTTTTCCATTTCGGTCTCCATCAGTTTTGCTCTTCATGTTTGCGAGCCCCAACGTGGTACCCAGATCTCTTAGTAATTGGAATACCTTACAACCGGTATCTTCGATTCGGTCCTACACGCTCTCTGTGCTTCCCTTTTCAAGAATGTATTTCGGCTCTTTTTATGTTCCTGGTACTCCTGCCTCACTCTGCTGTTGTTCAATAGGGTCTTATAAGCAGCGGTGGACCAAAAATAATATATCTCCTACTATAGTACTATACAGTCATTGAAATAGCCAGTGTTGATGCTTCTTGTATGTGTGTGTGTGTACTCACCTAATTGTGGTTGCAGGGGTCGAGACTCAGCTCCTGGACCCGCCTCTTCACCGAGTGCTACTAGGTCCTCCCTTTCCCTGCTCCATGAGCTTTATCATACCTTATCTTAAAGCTATGTATGGTTCCTGCCTCCACTACCTCACTTGCTTGGCTATTTCACTTCCTGACTACTCTTTGACTGATGAAATACTTCCTAATATCCCTTTGACTCATCTGGGTCTTCAACTTCCAATTGTGACCCCTTGTTTCTGTGTCTCCTCTCTGGAACATCCTGTCTCTGTCCACCTCGTCTATTCCACGCAGTATTTTGCATGTCGTTATCATGTCTCCCCTAACCCTCCTGTCCTCCAGTGTCGTAAGGCCGATTTCCCTTAACCTTTCTTCATAGGACATTCCCCTTAGCTCTGGAACTAACCTTGTCGCAAACCTTTGAACTTTCTCTAATTTCTTTCCTTTGATCTAGTGTGGGTTCCAAACAGGTGCTGCATACTCCAGTATGAGTCTGACGTACACGGTGTACAGTGTCTTGAACGATTCCTTACTAAGGTATCGGGACGCTGTTCTCAGGTTTGCCAGGCGCCCACATGCTGCAGCAGTTATCTGGTTGTGTGCTTCCGGAGACGTGCTAAGTGTTATACTCACCCCAAGATCTTTCTCCTTGAGCGAGGTTTGCAGTCTTTGGCCACCTAGCCTATACTCCGTCTGCGGTCTTCTGTGCCCTTCCCCGATCTTCATGACTTCGCATTTGGTGTACTCACCTAGTTGAGGTTGCAGGGGTCGAGTCCAAGCTCCTGGCGTGTGTGTGTGTGTGTGTGTGTGTGTGTGTGTGTGTGTGTGTGTGTGTGTGTGTGTGTGTGTGTGTGCGCGCGCGCGCTCACCTAGTCCTCACCTAGTTGAGGATGCAGGGGTTGAGTCCAAGCTCCTGGCCCCGCCTCTTCACTGGTCGCTACTAGGTCACTCTCCCTGAACCGTGAGCTTTATCATACCTCTGCAAAGCTATGTATGGATTCTGCCTCCACTACATCGCTTCCCAAACTATTCCACTTCCTGACTACTCTGTGGCTGAAGAAATACTTCCTAACATCCCTGTGATTCATCTGTGTCTTCAACTTCCAACTGTGACCCCTTGTTGCTGTGTCCCATCTCTGGAACATCCTGTCTTTGTCCACCTTGACAATTCCTCTCAGTATTTTGTATGTCATTATCATGTCCCCACTATCTCTCCTGTCCTCCAGTGTAGTCAGGTTGATTTCCCTTAACCTCTCCTCGTAGGACATACCTCTTAGCTCTGGGACTAGTCTTGTTGCAAACCTTTGCACTTTCTCTAGTTTCTTTACGTGCTTGGCTAGGTGTGGGTTCCAAACTGGTGCCGCATACTCCAATATGGGCCTAACGTACACGGTGTACAGGGTCCTGAACGATTCCTTATTAAGATCTCGGAATGTTGTTCTGAGGTTTGCTAGGCGCCCATATGCTGCAGCAGTTATTTGGTTGATGTGGGCTTCAGGAGATGTGCCTGGTGTTACACTCACCCCAAGATCTTTTTCCTTGAGCGAGGTTTGTATTCTCTGGCCCCCTAGTCTGCGGTCTTCTTTGCCCTACCCCAATCTTCATGACTTTGCACTTGGTGGGGTTGAACTCCAGGAGCCAATTTCTGGACCAGGTCTGCAGCCTGTCCAGATCGATCGAATGAATTCTTCTCATCAACTTCACGTCATCTGCAAACAGGGGCACTTCGGAGTCTATTCCTTCGGTCATGTCGTTCATAAATACCAGAAACAGCACTGGTCCTAGGACTGATCCCTGTGGGACCCCGCTGGTCACAGATGCCCACTCTGACACCTCGCCACGTACCATGATTCGCTGCTGTCTTCCTGACAAGTATTCCCTGATCCATTGTAGTGCCTTCCCTGTTATCCCTGCTTGGCCCTCCAGTTTTTGCACTAATGTCTTGTGTGGAACTGTGTCAAACGCCT